GGATGTGGGATATCGGGAAAGCCTCGTCGTAGCAGACGTTCTCGCAACCGGGCTGCTGCGTGTTACAAGTGAAGTCGGACTGTTCGTCGCCCCAAACCTCCTCGGCTGCTGCACCCAGCACCAAGATGCGGAAGATGAAGAGGACAGTAAGCCAAACCTGATTGAAGAAGGAAGGATACAAGAACTAACAATCAGAGCACAAATCTCAGCTCACTTAATAATGTTGTGATATTAAATTCTGCACGGTGGATCAACGCAGCTCAAATGGATTTGTTGAATTGTTTCTATAATTTAAGAGCTTATAATGTGAAAGGGACCAAGCAATTGGTAAAGAATTGAATGGCCGTCATTTAGGGATTTAAGGATTTGTCGAGAAGGAGGTAAACTTAATATAGTCTAATTTAACATGAATCAATTGTCAATGAATCACCTTTCCAATCACAGTGGAGTGTTCTTGAGCATTCTCCAGCAGCCGCCCCAGAAAGCTCCAGTCACCCATGCTTCACTTGATATTCTAGCCTGCAGAGAGAAAGGAGAGTCTGGGTGAAAACACAGGAAGGAGCAGGAGATAGAGACCAGAGCAGATGTTCTTAAGTTTGAGATAGACAGAGAGCATATATGAACAGATTTTGAAAGTATGGAGAATTTAGATATAGAGGTTAACTGATATTTGTTTAAAAGGACAAGGCAGATGTTTGGACTTGGTTAAAGGTCTTGAACATGTTTCACCTCCCCTTTGAAAGGCTTCTTCAGTTCTAAATAAATTGGGTGGAAGGAGGAATATAAGCCTTCGTCCAAGGAGGTTCATATTTCTTGCTCTTTTCAAGCAAGCTTTGTTTTATGTTTACCTCTTGTGAAATGCATGTTTTGGCATTCAAGAGGAAACAACAAGATTGAAATATTGAGGAAAGGGAAAAGAGACTTACTAAAATATTGTTGTATTGTCAGTGATAAATCCATCGACCAGGGATCAGAAGAAAAACAATATCTGTTGAGGAGAGATAAAATGTTCTTGTCAGCTTTTTTAAAATTTTTAGACAGAAATCACAAAACTTTCTCATTTAGAGCCCCCTTCAAGTCCTTGCACTTCTTACGATTCTGTTTGGTAAATTTCAGTGCGTACAATCTGGAAATATCCACCAGAGATTTTACCACTAACAATAGTAGTTCCACAAGGATCAATTCTAGGTCCTGTCTTGTTCACAATTAAACATTGTCTTAACTAACTGTAGTATCCACCATGCAGATATTATTCTTTCAATAGCCTACATCCTCCCACTGAATGGTTGTTTTTGCTGAAATGTCAGAGTATGACATCTTGGTATTTGCCTTGATGTGCATTCTGTTTCACAACATTTACAGCCAGTTTAAGGATGGTAAGGTTTTGGCTAATTAGTTTAAGTATGGAAGGTTTAGAGCTTGGTGGTTAAGAAGCTGTTACATAACTTTAGTTTCACTGCATACATGATGTAACTTGTGGTTGCTACTCAAATAAATCTACATTTTTAAGATTGAATTCATCCCTACGTTAATTTGCCTGCAGACATTCACACGTTTGTCTGTACTTGTGTGCATGTTCCACAGAGTTGCGGTCGGCTGGCGGACAATGGCTTGGACATCTGTGGGAAGTGAATGAGCGGATAACAAGTTGTCCTGGTTGAATGCTGGACTCATCACATCACAGGAATGCTGAGGAGGGCAAATGTTTGCCTGGGATAGACTGATATGTACACACGCCCAAACACATACACACACCCAGTAACAGTATAATACACTACCGCTGTATATGTGAGCCCCCCAATGATGTGAAGCAACAACATTTTAACCTTAGACCACTATTTGTCTTATTCTAACAATAAGAAGTCCATAAAGGAGATATGATACTCATAATAAAGTTCATTAAATTGCACCAGTAATATCATAAAACTCTCAAAATCCAATTTCACATATAATATCAAACATCTTTGTTAAGCTAAAACAGCAACTTGTTCACTTCAAATTAAGAGAAAACAGTACTCTAAGTGGTGATGAATGCATAGCTTTCTGTTACTGTCCTGATATACTAACACCAGCATGTGTACATTTACATGATGTGTTGACGTGATGAAATACCATCTGTCACAACAGACAATAGAGAAGCCGCTAGATGGACATTGTCCCGGCTGGTCGTGTGCTTTTGATGGATCAGAGGTCTTTGTGCTTCAACAGCCCCAAACAGTTAACTCTTGGCCTGCCGTTTTGCACCCTGGAAACCTTTGTAAGATATGCAGACAGCGGCAGTGCTTGCATGAGAAACATTTCTGTTTATGATCAATGCACATCCATAAAGCAGCCACATTAAACTCTTTAAGATTACACATGCTCAATGGCTAAACAATTCAGGAGTATCAACTTAAGGAAAGTAGATTTGTGAGGAAATAATGTTATCAGCTTAGTGTCATTAAGTGCACAAGGGTATCATGCATAAAAAGCCTTAAAATAGATGAATGAAATATAATAGAAATAGAAATATACAAATGCATGAAATTTTTGGTAACAACACATAAGATGTATATAGATACAAATGGCTTATGTGCAAAATTTGTAATGCAACATGGTAAAAAGAGAACACAAAGAGGTCAATAAAGTTGCTTAATGTTTGCAAAATTCAAGGAGGGCAAACCCTAAAGGTTCCTTCGATTCATGCAACCAAGTGTCCAAACTTTGTGGAAAAAATAACTTTCATTGATAACAGATCAAAGAATAAAAAAGGGAATACTTCAATCTATAATCATAAAGGATCTTGCCATTTGAATTTGTTACGCTGACACCTACCAAACCTTCTACAACAAGCAGAAAAACCTGGATGAAGTTGTGTCCTCTAGTAAAAAAGAGCCATATGTTATTTAATTTCATGCATAGTTAACTCGACTTCCAGTCTATTCAGCCAAAACATGACATAATGTCATGGAGGCAGCAACACAATTAATCCATGTAAATTTATACACATGCAATAATGTATTTAAAAAAATATGAATTGGAATGCCTTACCAGTGAATGTGCAACAAGTGTAAAAATGTTGTGCTCTTCCAAACATTAAATCAGCCTCAGTGAAAGGTTAATAAGTTGCATTCATATTGAAATAAGCGTATTTGATTTTGGTTGCATAATTAAATCTTCAATTAAGTTATTATTAATGCATAACAATTAGTCCACCAATTCCAGATGAAGGTCTGACTGGCAATAGGGAGACCAGATATTTAGAGCATTTTGGAACATTGGCTAATTTACTTGCCATTGATAATTTGAATGTTCTCATCAAAAATAGTAATTGTGATGTCACAAAGTAATTAATCTTAGCTTTGCTCTCCTTTCAAATATTCGCTTCAGTTTGACCCCCAAAAACTATCCTCAACAAATTCATGAGATGGCCAATTAGTGGCTTCCTGTCTGCCTCCTTTCCCACCGGGAAGTGAACGCAGCACGAGAGGTGCTGATAATCCAGCAGGTGGGAAGGATGATAATCCCTCCTCCTCCCTCCCACTTCAGCACAACACCATCACTCCAGCATCCACCTGCTTACCCCCCAAAGCTTCCTTCTTCTTTCTTTACTCCCACGGGGTGTCCAAAACCAGTAGGTGAGGTTAGTGGGGAGAGGAGGGGAGGGAGGGAGAGAGAGAGAGACACAGAGTGATAATTACAGTAACAGAGAGAGAGGGAGAGAGTAAAAAGTCTTAAAAAAAGGTGCGCGTGTGGATCCTGTCCTGCGAAGGCGAAGCGCAGCGGCTGCGTCCCGCGTGGCCAAGGCCATCCGCCACTGTCACACATTGGTGGCCCCCGTGAATGGGGCGCACGAGGGGGGTTGGTGGTGGGGGGGAGGTATGCGCGCGCGTGCATGGAGGTCTGTGTAGGTAGGGGCAGAGGCGATTTTATCACTGACACAGGAGGCCCAGTTTAAAACAAGGTCTAACTTTTCACAACATAACTTTATGAATTGTATAAAGACAATTTTAGTTTTTCACTGATAGTTAATCATACTATCTACTTCATGTTCAACAACTTCCATAACTTCTGATCAATAAGCAGTTATCAGGGGGAAACTCTTAGTTAATGTCCTATCAGCTGTGGACTATGGCCGTGTAGAATAAGGGACTAATAACTGTTAATAATTATGAATAATCAGCCAGGATGCTACTGATTAGCATGCTAATAGAATAGAATTACTTTACTGATCCCAAACTGGTAAATTGTGATGTTACTGCAGCAGGTTATCAGAGCAAATAAAATAATGTAAGAATAGATACATAAATAAGCACTTAAAATATAAAAAAATAAGAATAAGAAGAGATTTATTTATCTTATATTTATTTATTTATTTATCTATCTTAATTGTTTTCCTTTCAAACGCCTCCTGTGGACAGGTGTTGAGAACTACCATGCTTGCTAAAACACTTAAACAATGCATCTGGTTCGTTCAATGTATCTGTGGTGTCCATGCCAAATAAAGTCTATTATTATTATTTATACATCAAGTATTTAACTTAACATTTCTACTGGTTAAAATAATAATGAAAAATTAAATAAAACATTTATTCAGGCTTGTCAACTGAATGTAAAAATACTTGCTGGAGGTAAGAGATGTAAGTTTGCAAAAACAGTGATGACAGTGGTAAATGTGCAATAACGATATAGAGGGTTGTCCAGAGTAATAAGCAACTAGTTAGGGGGGATATTTTGACCTTCAAGTGTTACCTGATTTTGTTGGTTTAAATTTGCAAAAATTTAATTTATTAAAGGAATTATTTCCACAGTTTGATCATGGCAGCTTGTAGTTTGGTGGCTTTGGAGGAGGGGAGGGAGGACCCACAGACTTCACCGGTGGTCACCAGCAGATGTCACCAGAGGTTCACACATTACATCACTAAACTTAAAAAATACTTTATTTATATGGTGAGTGCATTTATATTCAATGAAATGAAATCCAATAAAGCAGCTAGTAAGTCCTCACATTTATTTTCTGCTCCAGTAAAATATAAAAAAAATAAACACTTCAGGCGTCTGAGACAATCTCAGGCGTCTTCATGTCGATCTACATTTTTGAATGACGCTCCTGATTCCATCCTCTCCACCCTTTGGACCCGGGTATCATAGAAAATGTTCAGTTGTATTTACACATTCACATTTGGACTTTTCACATGTAAATGCAGCTTTTGAGTGTTTTTCAAGTCTTTCAGATGTCTGTTGTAACATCCACCTTGTTGCTGCTCTGTCAGGTTGAGACGGCTAACTTCTGGTTTGTCTTACTCTGCGTCCTCTCTCTGTTGGATCTTCTGCTCGTGTTCCTCTCGTTTTGACTCCTGAAAAAAAGAATAGGGCAGACTCTGATTCTCTGAGCTACACATTTCAACAGGAGCCAATCAGAGACTCACACATGTGAAATACAGAAATATTATTCTAATATTGGTAAAAATTAGGGAAAATTGCTAAACCAATTAGTGGATGAATCACCTGACTGATTAACACCTCTACCTAGTGACAGCCTTGGCAATGATATAGGCGAGTTCAGCCATGTTTAGAACCATGCAGATGGAGGAGGCGGTGGCCATGAAGACAGTGAAGATTGTCTTCTCGGTGGGGCGAGAGATGAAACAGTCCACCAGGTTAGGACACGGCCACTGGTCACACTGAACGAGGCGTGGCATGTGGAAGCCGTCGTACACGACGTACAGGGCGTACCTGGAGAGACAAACACACGTTTTATAGGCAGGAGGTCGGGCCGATTGGACGGGAAATCAAATAGTACATCTTACATGAAGCCTCCTTCAAACAGCAGTCTAAAGACCAGGCTGCAGGCGTATGTCCACCAGAGGGCGCCGGCGATCGGGAGTCTCCGTCTCTTCAGGGTCTCCAGTTCCACCTCCTGGCCTTTGTTCCCGAGAAAACCAGCCTTACCAGAACCCTGTCACATGGCAATGAGACAATAAGTAAGTATAGCAATAAGTAAGGTCTTTTACCTGCTTTTTGTAAAGTGACTCAAGATAACACTTGTTATGAGTTGATGCTATACAAATAAAAATGGAAATTGACTAGACAACAAAAAATGATGAGAAAATAAAGAAGATATGATGAGACAGAGCCAGGAAACATCATTTCAACCCATAATGACAAGAAAGAAGATGACCGAACAAGAGGAGGAATAAGAAACAAAAGGACCAAAGACAACATGATAAGCCAAGACCACACACTCAAAAAAAATCACCTGTTACATGAAAAGACCAGATTTGACATGCAACGGCAGGTTTCTCTCAAACAGGGTGGGATGAAAGATCCAACACACCTGTAGGAGCCTCTTCTTATCTCTATGGTTCCTGAAGGCCACATACATGGCCACCAGAAGTGTTGGCGTGGAGACGAAGAGAAGCTGAAGACACCAGAGGCGGATGTGGGAGACTGGGAAGAACTGGTCGTAGCAGACGTTTTCACAGCCCGGCTGAGAGACAGACGTTGACGCTTTTAAGGAAATACTGCTACTACAAAAATCCCTGTGTAGACCACAGATCACAGAGTGATGCATGTTGGGAAACAGGAAGTGTAGGAGCCAAAATGCTTATTTTATTGATCCTTGCAAGAAACTCCAACACAACACTGCAAATTTGTATTTGAGTGTAATTCTGACACTGAACACTAGGTGGATTTTTGACTTGTGCTGTGAATAAGTAATGACATCACTGTCCTACCTGTAGGGTGTTACAGGTGAAGTCAGACTGCTCGTCCCCCCACACGCTCTCAGCAGCAACAACCAGCACCATGACGCGGAAGATGAAGAGCACGGAGAGCCAGACTTTCCCCAGGCTGGTGGAGTGACGGTTTGCACCCACTAACTGAGTGTAGAGAGCGGGCCAAGACATCCTGCAGAGACAGGAGGACACAGGAAGAGGAGTGTGGTCTTTGAGACTTTCAGGAGGAAGGAAGAGGCAGGAGATGAAAGCAGCGGTGAAGAGAAACAAAAGAGAGGGAAATGATGAAAAGGAATGAAAGTGAAGAGGAGGAGGAGGAGGAGAGACGGCCCAGCGCCAAAATTCATGTGAACTAATGAACCTCTCTGCCCACTGTGGACTGTACACTGACTGTACACACCCACACTACTACAGTCCTCACTTAGCCTCACCATCCACACTCCATCATTCATTTATTCATCTTCTGATTATTCAAATTATATTTTATGAGACATGCTGTTACAACATGTTTGTCCTAAAAGCTGCCTGAAAAGTTGAAATAAAGTCAAAGAATGATGTCAATAATTGCTTTTATTTTGAAATTGCTTTATTTTGTCTTAAAGGTCTTATGTGTTTAGTTTATGCAATTTTTAATACAAAACATAAAGTGTTTTCCTCACCTTTTTTTCCTCACCAACCCGAAAGTCAGGTTGTTTGCAAGAAAATATTCCACATGGTCCCTTCCATCTTATGAAAACAAAACAAATGACTGTCACATTAAAGCTGATCTCATAAAAATACTCAAATACTCAACTAAAACACGAACCTGCAGCTCCTGCTTCCTTTGCATGAAATCAAAGATGCGCCTCAGTGTCAAGCTCAGCAGTGTCAATATGAGACTACTTCTGGTGGGGTTTTTCAGAATAAAATGCAACACTGGGTAAGCCGTTGCTGTGTTTTGTAGGAAGAAGCAAATCCAGACATTGGCTGACTGTTTAAGGAGAACAAAACATGTGGAAAGACTTAAATGATTGTTAAAAGTAGTTTCTGATGATAAATTCTTATTACAAACTGTATTTATGCCAATAACTCAAGAAAAAGTTTACCGGTAATTGAATTTAATATCGAAAAAGTGAAAAATGTGCAAAATACTGATTTTTCTTTGATTCCTCAATCAAGAAATATTTTTTGATTGCATGCACCATAGTACCCTTTGTTGTGCAAAAATAATTGGGTATCAATCACACCATGTGGTTTTTGTGCAGGATGCTCATGCATGGTGGAAGTCAGAGCGCTCTGTGTGTGTGTGTGTGTGTGTGTGTGTGTGTGTGTGTGTGTGTGTGTGTGTGTGTGTGTGTGTGTGTGTGTGTGTGTGTGTGTGTGTGTGGCAGCAGTCAGCCTGCAGGACAGAGCAGCTCTGTGTGACCAATGAGTTGTTCTCACTGTTTGTTCACGTGTGGGAGCAAAAAGACAACTTCCTCATTTTAAACACAAAAACTAGAATGAAGACTGTTAGATCAAGTTAGTAGGGTTAGGGTTGAATTTGGGAGGTGACATTTTGAAATAAAATGGTGAACATTTTCTCTAATTTTTAGTCATGTTTTCTATTTCCATGAAAATGTTTATCTCAAAAACAATAATATAAGCGTTTAAACTGACGAGCAGAAGTGATGTGGAGGGGCAGGAAAACATTGTGAGCTGAGACAGAGAAGGCATGAGTGATTCTAATGGAGTCATTAGGGGGAATAACAGCGACTCTTATTCCTGATGCATATCAATGAATGGATATCAGTGTCATGACTCGTCTCAATGGCACACTGTGTGATCTATCAGTCAGGGAGGAAAAACAAAACAAAAAGAAAGGCTGGCGGATGGTTTCAAGCTGTTGAAAGAGTAGAGAAGAAGAGGGAGAGAGAGAGAGAGAGAGAGAGAGAGAGAGAGAAAGAGTAAGAGAGAGAGAGAGAGAGAAAGAGGTGAAATAGAGCTGATTGTTAGAGTAGCTCCTGCTAGAAGAAGAACAGAGGGGGCCAGTGTCAGGAGACACACACATCCACACACTCACTCACAAACTGTACAACACACACATACTGTATGTAACACACACACACACACACACACACACACACACACACACACACACACACACACACACACACACACTGTAATGAGTGAGGGGGAGAGCAGCATGTGACTGAATAGCAGGTCTCATTTCAGTAGGTGGACTTGGCTGACTGATCCAGGATCAGCCAAGCTTCTGTATGAAGGTCCGGACACCGATGTGAGAGCTTCTAAAATGTAAAAATAAAAAAATAAAAAAGTACATGAATATCAATATGTTTCAAGGCTATTTCATTGTAACAGAAAACGCCTTGAACTAAATAAATGTAGACTTAAATTTAGACTTAAAAATTCAAACTGAAGTTCCGTGAGACTTGATTCAGTGCTCTTTTTAGTGGTTGTAAGAGTAACGGTGCAATTGGAAAATCTTTAATTTAAAGATAAATCAATCATCAGAATGAAGGGACTATTTTTACAATTCAAAATCGCACTATTGAAAACGGAGCATGCAATCCCCCTCCGAAACACTAGAGGGCGACAAAGCTAACCCTAACCGGAAACGGAAGTAGCCTCCATCCTCTTCGTTGCTGCAGCTACCAAAAATTCCCAAAGCACGGTGGAATAAAAAAACGCTACAAAGGTCTTAGAAAAATAGATGAAAAACTGAAAAAAATTAACGATGGCGCTTGAATCACGGATTACACAAGAAGAAATCAAGAGGGAGCCGGAGAAGCCCATCGATAGAGAAAAAGTAAAACCTGTTTTAACTTGTTTATATTGAGCTGCAGCGGGAGCTAACCAGGCTAGCTAGTGCCAAATGGTTACAGACTACAACCAGACTAGTGTATAGAAGAAGGTACTCAATAATACTATGAACATTATTATATATTTTACAAAAATTAGTAGATATGTTTGCTGCTTCACGGTGCATTAAGAGTCAGAGGTGATAAGGAAGCTAATCTGAGGAGCGACGTCCGTCTCATGCTAGCATGCTAACTACCCACGGATGAGCTTTCGGACTTCAATTAACAACCAACTTTACATTACTAAACACACATTATCTTTAAAAAGGTTTACGTTTCAATTTCCCCATGAATAGGCGGAAATAGTGATAAAACACAGGTCATTTTTACTTATGTTTGAGTGTATTCACACGATGCTAGCTTCTATTTCTCTGAGTTACACACTGACAAAACTTAGTTTTTTATCTTTTACGACTCGTGTTGAAGTTTTCTTAGAAATAAAAACAAAAAACGGGTATATTATTGACTCAGGAATTACATTTTGGTAGTTGGAGGGGACACTAACCACTTTCCTCAGGTGTTTCTAATACTTATTCACCCCTCGTTAACTTTCGTTTGACAAAATACAGAAGTGGAGTTATAACATTAGTTATACTTATATTATATTATGTTATAATATATATTCAAAACAAGCAGACAATGTTTACCATTGTTACATTAAAAATATATCAGTTTAATAATCAATGAATAAGATTACTGCTGTATTTTCTTCTTGTCGAGTTGTAGTTCTTCGGTGTGTCCACTAGAGGGCAGTGAGAGCTCGAAAAATGAAATGGTTATAAAACATTATTTTTTGTTGTAGACAGAATGGTAGGATTGTGTTTTTGTATTGTCTTGCAGTAGGTCTTCTTACATAACCTTTTTGATACCCTTGTGCCTGCAGACCTGCCCCCTCCTGCTGCGAGTATTCACCACCAACTGCGGTCGGCATCACAGACCAGATGAGTTTGCCCGTGGCAACGTTCCCTCCAGTGAACTGCAGATTTACACATGGTGAGACTGTTCACACTGCAAGATGTTTTGACTCTTAATTTGAGTTTTAAGATCAGGACTCTGATTCTGTGTGTTCTTCAGGATGGATGCGACCCTGAAGGAGCTGACCAGCCTGGTGAAGGAAGTGTATCCAGAAGCCAGGAAAAAGGGGACCCACTTCCATTTCTCCATCGTCTACCCAGACCTCAGAGGGAAAGTGTACAGGTTGGTATCACACTACAACAATATTGGAGCAGGCTGCATGGTCCCTGGTCTGAAGATAGTTATTTAACCTCTTCTCTCCTTTAAAGGTTGAGAGATCTCGGCAACACCATATCAGGAAGGAAGGGCACGGATGACTCCATGACTCTGCAGTCTCAGCGCTTCCAGATCGGAGACTACCTGGACATCGCTATCACACCGCCCAACAGAGTCCCTCCTCTTGGCCCACGCATGAGACCATTCTAAACAAACAAACACACACATTCACACATACGCACACATAAAACACTCAACACACAACACACATCAGCCGTCTCATTTCTGTTGCTTTGTTCTTCCCTTGCATCATCTCTGATGGTTTTTTGACTCATTTTTTAAAATTTGACCTGTAATAAAGTTGTGATGTTTTTCTCAAAGTTTCTGCTCCTTTCTGTGTAACACGAGGCAAAGATTGTATGAGGAAACCTTTTCAAACAACTTGTATTTAGGGCGTCAACATAATATATTTGGAGTATGAATTTTCAGTGACAAATGTGTGGAAACCACTATTGTAATAAGTTTATAGATAATCATTCCAAGTTTCTGCGGTAGAGCTGATTTCCATCTCTACGATGGATTATATTCTGCTGGAAACTAGAGGAATAATACATTCTACATTTAATTAAGCAGATTTGTCCAAGGGGACCCACATCTCAAGGATACAAACAGGAAGTGAGTGTAAACAAAAAGCTTCCTGTCTGATTGGACAAAGGTGCTAACAGGCAGTGCAAAGATGCACATTTAAAAAAATGTATATATTTTTGTTGCCATTGTCAACAATATGAACAGCTTCTCATGGGAATTCCAGCCTCAATACCATCGTCCGAGAACCCAACAAAATCTAAATCTAAAAAAAAACAGAGCCTTAAAACACCAGATTGTACCAAACTATTTAGATAATAAGCTTTAAAATGCTGTTGTAGCAAACATATCAGTATATGGCTTTTCAAATGGGTCATTTGTGTATTTTATTGAGAGATGGTGGCCAGTAATATCTTATGTATAAGGCCGAAATAGCGAATTTTACTTTGATAGTTATAACAGGAAGTTGAAGAGTGCGCATGCGCATAAGAAGTTGCCGTCAGATAGCATAAATACATTGAAGTTAGCTCACCGCTGAGTAGAATTAGAAGATATTCAACCAAAAGAAACGTGTGTCAAAGATGTTCCGGAGAAAACTGACAGCGCTAGATTATCACAACCCCGTCGGCTTCGAGTGTAAAGGTGAGAATTATCTTTTAATTAGCTTTTAAACGATGTTTGACGGCTTGTTAGCCTGCTAACGTGTGTGTATGTAGGGGTTCTGTCACTGCCTGAAGACAACGCAGTGACAAACTAGACTCACAAATAGTGGGTTTTGTTCTGGGTTTGGATGACTAATCAGACTTTTTCTATCAATAGGAGGGTTTTTTTTTTACGTCGACATCATCCTAACATTGAATTCAACGAAGCTAATCACAACATAAGAAAAACAGGCAATTGTGCTACTTGTACACAGTCGTATATCAGTATAATAATTTAAAATGAGGAATGTACAAAGAAATGTGTAATAATTTGAGAACGGCAGTTTAATTAAGTGGGCTGTACATTTGAGGTTACAACGCAGTAAATTAAACAACTAACTTAGTCGCTCCATACACTACGGTGGCCTATTTGTGTCTAGTGATGTGTAGTTCGTGAACGATTTGTTCAAAACGAACGAATCATCGAACGAACCGAACTGAATCACTTACTGAAAAGAGTCGTTTATTTCTCAACTTCAGTTGCGCTCTCCTCTCTCCCGTCTCGTATCTCTCTCTAGTAAGAGTCGCTGAGATGTTAATCTCTCTCTCTCTCTCACTCACTCACTCACTCACTCACTCACTCACTCACTCACTCACTCACTCTCTCTCTCTCACTCCCCTGGGCTCAGATGAGACCCAGTTCAGGAACTGTATAGTGTGGCTGGAGGACCAGAAGATCCGACATTATAAGATAGAGGACCGAGGAAACCTGAGGAACATCCCCAGCTCAGACTGGCCCCAGGCCTACCAGAAGGTACCCCATCATCATTACTGGAGACTCGGGTGTTTTTCTAAATGACATGTTCAGTGTTTCTGAGTGGGTGCGTTCGAATTGTCCCTCTTATCTCCTTTCACTATCCACTTTACCTTAACCCCGGAAGCATTTAAGTGGCGGCCGTGATAAGAGCCGTTTGAATTCTCTAAAAGTTAAGGAAAGGTGGGTCAATGTTTCCTGAATAACCTCCTTTAGCATAGGATACACTGGACCATCCTTTACCAAAGGAGAGGAAATATGACACCCCACAATTCCTTGCGGCCGCAACATTTAAAGCGAGTTGCGCATCCGACCGTTCACGAACATTAACAATGATCGTAAAGTGACACAGATCATAAAAGGGATAAAAAGATAAAAAAACATTTTTATCCAGATGATGTTTTATTCAACATATTTCATTCACTTAAGAAAACTTTGTGCACTTGTACATTTGTATGTTTAAAACATTATGTGTAGGTTATATCTTACATTAATGTAACAATTAATTTCATCCAATCATACTTATGTTGATGTTGATTTCTGAGTGGACAGGAAGGTGATGGTTTCACTTTTGTTACTTGTAGCCTGGTAGTCTATATTTCTTTTATTTCAATCCCAACCTTGTGGTAATTAGGATTATTTCACCGGTAAGAAGGCACAGGGGAAAGTTTTTTAGATGCGTTTTTTTGTAGTCCATTTTCGGAACATTGTAGTTTCAACACAGGGAGGCTGTGGCTCAGTTGGTAGAGTCGTTGCCTCTGAACCGGAGGGTTCGATCCCCAGCTGAGCAACATGTCCGTTGTGTCCTTGGGCAAGACACTTAACCCCGAATTGCTCACGCTGCTTCAGTGGCGGTGTATGACTGGATTAGTTACTTCTGATGGATGATACTACATAGCGACCACTACCATCAGTGTGTGAAAGGGTGTAAATGGGTGGGTGTGACATGTGGTGTAAAAGCGCTTTGAGTAGTCGGAAGACTAGAAAAGCGCTCTATAAGCTCAAGTCCATTTACCATTTAACACGGCAGACTCACGTCATTAACCTCCGCCGGCCCGTCAAATTTAATTACGTGGCCTAGTGGAAATGTGGTCGGATTGTCAGAGCAACGAGATCGCCTTTCCCTAAGTCCTTTATGAATCCTCCTAACATCTTACCTTAACCTCATGACGTTTTCGCGGGGTCAAGGTAAAGTGGATAGTGAAAGGAGATAGGAGGGACCCAGTGTCTTTTTTCTTGTGTGCAGTACCTGCAGGATGTGAACTGTCCATTTCCGGTTCAGGAGAGGCAGGAGGCTTTAGACTGGTTACTGGGCCTGGCTGTAAGATATGAATATGGAGACAATGGTAAGCTGGCAGTAGATGTACCTCCTGCATATTTACCTGTGTTACCTGTGTAAATAAGTCCAATACATGCAGTACTAATGATGACCAGCAGAGGGAGACATCAGAAAAGGAATAATGTTATTTAAATCTGCGCTTCCACTGAAGGAACTTTCCCAATGAGGAACTCAACCACACCAAGGTCTACATAGGGTCCTTATTGTACCACGTGAAGGTTCCTGCTCCGGGGTAGTACTTTCTGAAAGTAAAGGGACTTTTGTCAAGTACATCCACTTTTTTTTTAACATATTTATTCAGCTAATGTTCACATATCCTAAGACCTCAAATTGAAATGCAGGCAGCGACGGACTGGAGGAACTTTTAAATACCTTGGAGCCTCTGGTACAAATTGTTACTTTTGGTGGAAACGCAGTTTAAGGTTAAGTGTTGAAAACTCATGAACAAATCTGAATAGTTTGAATAGTCTTTACATTCTGTTTAGATACATGACACTCACTTTTATTTCCCCCCACAGTGGATAAGTATAAAAGATGTGAGCCACTGGCGGCCTCCAGCGACAGCAACAAAGCTGTGGACCCTCTCGTTAACCTGGACAGTAAGTAGAAACGCGTCCCTGCTCCTCCACCTGTCCTCGCACTTTAGCCTTCCAGCACACCGTCCTCGTCTCTCTGTTCCCGCTGAAAGATGAAACCCTCACATCTTCATGTTTTGCAGGCGACTCTCCAGAATTCAAAGCCGGAGTGACCGCACTGGCAAACATCCTCAAGATACAGCGGCATGATGACTACCTGGTTATGCTCAAGGTAGGAACACAGTCATATATTCTTCTTCTTATTTATTAGACACTTCTCTTACTGACCCTTTATTTTCACATTCTTTCAGGCCATTCGGATTCTTATCCAGGAGAGACTTTCTCCAGAAGCGATCGCTAAAGCCAGCCAGAATAGAGAGGTAAAATAAATATGCTCAGGTATCAAAAATCACAGCAAGAGATTCTTCTTTTAATTAAACATTACCCTTAATAAAACACATTTCAGGCTCTTTGTAACATTTGTGATGTTGCTGTGGTTCTTAGGGTATCCCAGTAGCTTTGGACAAGCACATCTTGGGATTCGACACCGGAGGTAAGAAAGGCTCAATTGATGTCTAAAGTTATGTCAATAATTGCTGTTATGTCATACTTACCTGCTCGAGGGAATTTAAAACATTTTCCTTTCAGATGCCACTCTGAATGAAGCGGCTCAGATCCTGCGCCTGCTGCATGTCGAGGAGCTGAGGGAGCTCCAGACTAAAATCAATGAGGCCATCGTGGCCGTTCAGGCCATCATAGCCGATCCAAAGACAGACCACAGGCTGGGCAAGGTCGGCAGATGAGAGTGGAGAGCGGGGACTAAGAGGGGTGGTGGAGGAAGGAAAGCGATGAACTGAACCATGGGAGTTTTAATTTGAGTTTGAGAGGAGAAGACTTTTAGTTGGACATAAATGAACATTTTTGTTTCTGTTTGTTGCAAGAGATTGGAATGTTTGAATTGGGAACATTTGAGAAAATGAACAAATGCCAAGTTTTCAGATGCAATAGTAAATAAAAGTCTGTTGTATTCAGAGACATTGGCTGAATCTCCTGATCACCTCTCGTCTGCCACTAGCAGAGAAAGCTTCTGAAATATTCAAACTGACGGTTATATTTGTATTTTTCGTCGTACAGGTTTGTTTTTGCCAATGGATAAAGTTTATTTTGAAATGGTTTACATTGAAGCTGTGAGAAAACATAAAAATACAGCTGAACAGATTTTTTTGTCTCCTGTGTTTCTTGTCTGATTATTTTAAACAGCGCCATGAAAAAAGAAACAAGTCCGTCAAGTACCAAATCACATTTTATTGTTATAAATATCACATCTTATAAAAAGATAAAGATTTGAAAAGTAGATTTAGTAAAAAATATTTGGCAAAAGGAAGGATGTAAGGTCATCTCATGATGTGTGAAAAACAGATTGTTAGTGGAGGACTGTAGTCTGATCAGACTGGTACACAGGGCTGAGGGAAACATGATATCATTATTAAAGTCATGATTCAAAAACTGATGCTTTAAAATGTCCATTATTTTCAACCTAGCTTGCAATATCTGGAAAGGTGGTTTATACTTCAATCAGAACATCCATATTAATATTTTAACAGGCTAAAGCCAACAAACGATTAGCTTATGATAGCATTAGGACCAAAATCAGGTAGAAACAGCTAGCCTAGCAACTAGAAATAGCTTGAAATTTCATTTGAGCCCCCCTTCCATATAGTCATGTAATTTCTGTCCTGATGAAACTCAAAAGATGTATATGTTTGTAAGTGAGTGCTAAAGTTGCTGGTAGTTTTCAATGACGCCAAACTAGCCTGTTTCTGTTATTTTGCTACTAAGCTAACTGTCTCCCATAGCCTATCTGTCTTCATATTTAACGTTCAGAATTGTAAGTGGTGACAGGTTTAACATCTTAGCAAAACAAAGAATAGTTCAATTCCCCTCACGCTAAGCTAGAAGTGGAAAACTGTTAGCTTTGTCTACCAGCATGTAGCTAAATCCGTTAGCCGGTTAGCTTAGCTTGGATTAGGGACTGAAAGCAGGGGGAACAGCTGCCATGAAATATGATATTATAGACACTAGAGTTGTATTATTCTGAATCTCTCAGACAATAAACAAGACATTATTCCACTTCTTTGGCGTCTATTTTTATTTGCTGTTAAATCATGACTGAAATTGAAAAGCCCCTGTAGACCAGCGGACCAAAAACAAAGCTGACGCTCAGCTTCACAAACAGAACTTTGGCTCGAACACTTAAAAAAGCTCCTGATGCGATTCTTCTTTGGCGTTTAAAGAACACACAACCTTTACTCACACACAATTCAATTTGATCTCCTGTAGCTTTTATCGATAGAAAAACAAAAACAAAATAACTCACGTACAAAAATACAGTAGAAAAAAAACTTAAAATGAGGTATAAAACAAATTTACAAAACATTTATTTTGGGGTTATACCTTTATGGTGAGATAACAGGGGGCGGGGTCAGGGGGAGTGGAGGGGGTTGTAAATTTGCTCTGACGTTCGATCTGGAGACGGGAAGCCATCTTGATCAATACTGAGTGTCCTTTTCTCCTGAGGGACAGTGAAGGGGGCATTTCATCGTTTGGCTCCTGCCCTCTGATCA